CTAGGAATAGTAGCTTGAGAAGCCAGGCTTCAGATGTAGGGGCAGCCGGGCAGGTGATGGCGTGCATCTGGAGTTCACTGAACATTTTGACTGGATGTTGAATTTAGTTTGTGATGAGAGTACTCAATGTTGCAACCTTTCACCTAGGTAGATATTGGTGTTTCCTACTAATGTTGTAGGAGCTAATATGCCTCTACCTGATGACCTGTAGTACTATAGGTTTGCATCCAACAATTCTAGCATAGATAGATAGAACCTATCGGCTTGCTAAGAGATGCTTGTCACTCCATTTTGTAGGCAGAGGTGTTTTAATTTGTAGTGTGTTGCCATGTATGTGTAATTAGAATAGGGGGTAAAAACACTTAATGGTTAATTATTTATGCAGTTTTATACTCTACAGAGGTTGTACACTTTGCAAAGTGGGAATAAGTTCTGGAAGAAGCAGAAAAAATTCCCGTACAGTTTTGAGAGATAGGTTGATGGATGATAAACCCAAAAGGGGTGATTGGAGCAGAAGAAAATGACCTTGAGAATCTCCAAATGATAAGATTAGGATCAAGAGAGCAGGGATTTGATTACGGAAAAACATAGAGACATGACAAAGAAAGATAAAGACTTACTAAATACGTTTTTCAAAATTTTACTTACAACACCAAGTCAAGCAACAAGCAAACCTCACTTCATCCAAACGGCCGTAAAAATTAGAAAACTTTAAAAATTCACATTTTTCCTATAACTAAATTTGCGATAGTTCAAACTTGGTAAATTTTATCCAAATATTAAAACCTTTCATTTTATTTAGTGTTTTCTATGCACAACACAAAATCAGAAATTTTGGGGTGTGACACAATATCCTTGTCTATTTATGCTTCTTCTTGCTCTAAAGGCTTTGGTGCATTTTTTTTTCCTTGACGATTGCATCTCATTGTCACTTTCACTATCTCATTATTTCTTTTCTTACTTGTAGTTCTTGTTGTATGCGTTATGACAACTTCAAATCCGGCTAGGAATGCATAAAAGTTGAAGAAATGGTGAGCATCATACCTATTCTTAAATTCCATTGATAGTTGTGGGGTGTACTTGTTGTTGATTGGTGCATTGTTGCCTTTAGATGCTGCAACCCGCTTATTTTTTATGAATTCTTCAATCTCTTCCTTCGTCAGTTCCTAGCTGCCATTTACATGTTCATTATCATCTGTTATTGTTGATGTAATATCTGAACTTGTCGATTCTGCTGCTATGATCCTCAAGTCATTTTCTCCCATTGTTGGTTGATCATCTTGATGTTCTTGTTGTGCCTGTAAATATATTAACAACAGTCTTAGTTTCTGAGTAATGACATTTATAATACAAATATTGTTTTCATTGTAGATTGAAATAGTTGAAGAGATCATTTTTTATGTACCTCATCAATTTCCATGTTATTGAATACATAAGTTTGTGAATAATATTGTTCAATTTTAGATCTATCATCATCAGCCATGTTTGCCATTTCTTCATCCTGTTTTTGCAAATATAAGTTTACTTTTGATGCCAGTACATATTTGTATTGCTTATAAATGTAATCAAATTGCTTAGCTGTAAGTATGTACCTCATATGGCATTCTTGACTCTGATATTGACCACTTAGTTTGTGGTTCAAAGATTCCATCCAAATTCTCATGGCTCATATTATGTGTTATTTGTTTGTTAATGACAATGGTTATTATTTACCAAAAATATAACACAACTAGATTGACAAGCATATATAATTTTACCTCAGTCATGTCATTTTCAATTATCATCTGTGTCAATGTTCCTTGCATCCCTCTGTGTAGCTACACAGTTTATAATGAAGCATTGAAAATTACACTCCTGTTATGCTGAATTTACATCGCATATATTGGTGTAATTTGCACATGCGTGCACTATAATTTCTGTATACTTGCAGTATAATTTTTACCTGCCTATTCCTATAAGTCTGATCATCTTCCTGTGAGTTCCTGATTTGTTCAAGCATAAGTTCAGTGTAGCCTCCCTGCATTGAAATATAATTTAGTTCAAAAAACAACCTTTTTATCTTGACATTTTTGAATCTAAGCAACGACTTGCTCACCTTTTTGTATTTGTAGGTATTTGAAGGGCCGGCATCAGATCCAGTAAGTAGTTCTGCATCATAATTGGTGTTCCTACTATGCTCATCTTTATCATTGTAACTGATGTCTGATAGATTTGTCAACATAGAATTTGCAAATGCATTATGTCCACCCTGCATCTATTTGAACATATATACTTATTGACATATGTCTAGTTGCACCGAGTAAATGATTATTTGATGCAATATTTTAATCTAGTACCTGGTTAGTCTGGTACATCAATTGTAGTGTTTCTTGCCACTTCTTTATCCCATCTGCTGTTGTGAGATCAAAGTTTGGTTCTGAGTTTTCACTTGCATGTGTATATGGTACCGCAGTAGATGATATACATCATTTATTAATGCTAAATTTAGGAGGATTCACCTATATTTCTAGTAAGTCCATGGAAAATAGATTTTTGCTAAACCAAAACTTAATTATTGACATTTATATTACCTAAAAGTTATGCCTATCCATAGTTTCAGTGATCTGTAATACTTTCTATTCCAGTTTTAATTTTGTCCTATTCTTTGCCTGCATTTAGTAATAAATGATGATGTCATTAGGATAAAGTTGAAGTATCATAAAGAATCAGTATGTGAGATTATAGCCATTCCTAGCCACCTTTGTCCCTGCACCACATCAAAATTGCTAGTTGAACTGATAGTGGTACAAGTAGCAATACTTGCATGAGCCAGATCTTTAAATTGTATACATATACAATATAATTGTATTAGCAGCAAATACAAGTTGCACTATGTCAAATGTGCAATTTTCTTATTTTTGTTCTGTAATTTATTTACAATAGGAATATAGCAAATGCATAACATATATATTTATAATTTTAGTTGGGGATTAGTTGAGGATTGCTGAGTGATGTGGCTGCAGAATTACTTTTAAAAAATTGGTCCAGAAAATTCGATGTGTGTGTGTGATTTCTGCCAGCTATATGTGTGTGTGATCTCATGCTCTCTATTTTGCACTATGCTCTCTGTGTTTCTAGCCTTTTAGACCACATCATAACCCCAAAGTGTTGAATCTATTCCTTGTGCACAGTGAGCAACCAGGGCCACGCCCTGCTGTTGGAGCAAGCTCAAGCATTTAGAAATAAATGATGTCATTAGTATAAAGTTGGAGCATCAATTATATGCAGAAAATGGTGATTGAGCACTTGGCATAGAAAATTGTGATCCAGCTGCAAGTCAAGGCCATTTGTATGTCTACAAATAATTGGTTGAGGAACTAGGGTGTGATTGAAATATGGCTGCAAATGGAGGTTCATACATATTACTCTTATTGTAGCTTTTTGTGCTTTTGGAAATTGTATGCTCTCATATGTGTAACTCTTTGGCACCTGACAGTGTGAGTTATATAAATTGCACTTTTATGTTTTTTCTTTTGCAGGTGCAACACCGTTTGTGGCCTCTGCATAGTCAGGTGTTATATCCACTGTGAAGTATCTACTTGATCATGGTGTTAGTCTAATGAAAGCAGATGTAAAAGGACACATTGTTCTACACAATGCTGTATGTGCAAGTATGTGTGATCAAGGTTTTTTGTCATGCTTGTGTGGTTGTGTGCCACTTTATCTTTATTTCTATGGACACCATAGGTGATTTTGTAAAATGGTGCAAAAGCTAGCAGACTTTTGTCTTGGTTTCTTTTTCTTTCTGTAGGCTTGTTTCTACCTTTAGACCACATCACAACCCCAAGTGCTCGACCTGCTTCTTGTGCATAGTGAGCAACCAGAGCCACGTCCTGCTTTGTAGCAAGCACAAGCAGTAGGCCATCTTTACCATCCTGAATGTCTTTTTCATGGATCTAGATTCTCCTGGTCTTTGATCTGAGTTGCTATTGTTTTTTGTTGTTTTTTTAGAAAGTAAATTCAAAAGATTGGGATACTAACCTTTGCTGATGAGGTATGGATCAGTCTTGTAATGCTTCTTGTTTAAATTTCCTGTTCTTCTTCTTTGCAATATGATGTTAGCCCCCATGCACAACAGATTTTTCTTCTTCTTTCCTAAGTCTATCTGCTATATTTCTATGTATTCATGGTTTTGGGTTTTTCTTATAGGCTGCTGCTGTTTAATGGGCCATTTTATCATTTTAGTTAATGTGTTGTATTGTTTTACTCTTCAGTTGCACTGAAATTACAACACATTGGGCCTGTTCGCTTGTCTGAATTTTGGAGGAATCTGGATGGTTTGGAGGAATGCTGGAGGAATTTGTGAGAGAGAAACACTATTCCGGATGAAAAAATAAGCGAATCAAGCCGGGTTTAAAGGCACGCGAACGGGGCCATTTTCTCTATGTGGACCTTCTTTAAAAATCAATTTTTTTAAAGGCAGCCAACAACCGTGTGCCAGCTTGTGCTAAAACACACGGTTTTTATTTTGTTTGAAATCATGTGTTCTGCATGCAACCAATAACTATGTGCTAGCTTGTACTAAAATACACGGTTTTTTCTCTGTTATAAATCATGTGTTTTATAGTCAGCAAACAACCATGTGCTAGTTTTTACTAAAATACACCGTTATAGAGTAGACAGACTCAGTAAATATGTTGCCTGAAGTTCCCAAGATAGAAATCGCCAAAAAAAAAAATTCTCAAGATAGAACGTCAGCCTTCGGACAGCGTCACAGCTCTAAACCCCGGATTTGGGCCAGGCCCGAGATCTGCAGGCTACCATCGCCAAGGTCCTGGGCCCATCTTTGTTTTGCGACGTGCTTCTCCCGTCGGGGAAGGTCAGGAACTCCGAACTCGGAGGAGCAGGCGTTCGCTTGGCTGCGTGCCGTTCCTCAGCCCCCCTTCGCCTTCGCGAGCCAGCGCCCAAATCACGATTCCACGAGATGAGAATGAGATAGCGTGTGAGCGATCGGAGCCCCCATGGCGCCATCCGCTGCCCCCTCCTCCTCCTCGCACCTCCTCCTCGCCTCGCCCCACTCCCCGCCCACTCTCCTCAGGCTCCGCCGCGCGGGCGGCCGCTCCCTGGGGCTGTCACGGCGAGGCGGGAGCGCACGCCTTCGGGTCGTTCGACGAGCGGTGGAGGACGAGAGCGGGGCCGCGAGCGGGGGTCAGGAGGTGGAGGCGGCCCCGGAGGAGCCAGTGGCTGGTCGCGACCTCGTCACGCTCGCCGCCTGCCTCGTGGGCCTCCTCACCGGCGTCTCCGTTGTGCTCTTCAACCTCTCGGTACGGCAGCCACCTCACGAGCTCAAGTTTGATGGTTTCATTCGCCGCGTGAAATGGAGTCCGTAGTAACTTTGACGACTTCAATTTCGGAGGTGAATGGGTTGAAGGCAACTGAAGATTGGGGTTTGGTGTTGTATACCATGCTTCCGAATTCTGACATCCAGCATTGCTGAATTAGGTCCCGTTCGGCTTACCCCATATTCGATATTCGGTTTGTCCGGCTTGATTTTTCAGCCGGAACAGTGTTCCCCCACAATTTAGCCGGAACAGTGTTTTTCAGCCAGATTCAGCCAAGATTCATATCAGCCAGTTTGCTGTGCTATTCAGTCACATTATATATATATTCTGACAAGTCCTCGGATTTCAAAAGCATTAGTTCCCACCTAAAAGGTTACAGGCTTTAATCATTTGTCCTCCAACCTTACAGGTTAGGATCACCCTGGTTCTGCCTTGTTTATAATTCAGTCTCTTTTTTCACCCCTTCAAGTATGTTGCATAAACTTGAAGTTGTCTGTGTCACGTTTAAATGACACACTCGGAAATCTTTAACATCTTGGATCCATTTTAGTACTCAAGAGTGAAGAGGCATTGTTAAATTCACGTGCTGTCCATTTAAAGTACCTCATACTGTGATTTAAGATGCCCATATTTCTTGCCATAGGTTCATGAAATACGTGACATATTTTGGGACAGTATTCCTTTGCGAGGCGCTTCATGGCTGAGGGAGGAGCCGATTGATGAAGTCTGGCAGAGAGTGATATTTGTTCTGGTCAGTGGAGGTGTTATAGTAGGTGGATTGAACACACTAAGAAGTTATATCAAAACTAACTCAAATGCCCCTGTGTCCAAGATAAAGAGTGCATTTAGACCATTCTTGAAAGCTATGACAGCATCTTTCACACTTGGAACTGGCAATTCACTGGGTCCTGAGGGTCCCAGTGTGGAAATTGGTTCTGCAATAGCCAAAGGATTTGGTAATGTGTTTGAGTGGGAGGGTGGGAAAAGGCTGTCTCTTGTGGCAGCAGGATCAGCAGCTGGGATATCATCTGGTAACTTTTACTAACTAGAGTTTTGATGCTTGTTGTTTTTAAGTTGAACATGCTCTGTGTTCAAGAAAAGTTCAACATGCTCAGAATGTTTTCTGGATTTTTTCATGTCAATGTCAAATGATTGCCACCAACACCAACATAACATCTTAACATCATCATTTCATCGCCTTACCTATGGCTATTGTCGATAGTTACCCCTATAATTTCTCATCATAATGCCGCTGTATGATAATTCTTTAATCACCTTGTTGAATAGATTGGTATGCTGATAGCTATACATGATGTAATACATGATATATGGGACATTAACCCAGTAGCTTGCATTAGATTCACCTTCTATGGATACTTGAAATTCTCAATAACTCAACATGTCTTTGCAGTTTTCTGTCTTCTTTCTGATTTCATTTTACTTATATTCTAGGTTATTGCCTTGTATTTTAGGTTTTAATGCTGCTGTTGCTGGGTGTTTTTTTGCCGTGGAATCTGTTTTGTGGCCTTCTGCTGATTCCTCATCCCTTGCCCAATGTTCAAAAAAACGCTAGACGCTAGGCGAACGCTAGCCTATGGTTTAGAGTTTCGGAAGTTTTAGAAAACGTGATTAAACGTTTTTGTTTTGTTTTTTACTTTTTGTGATGCTGAGAGCAAAATCAGTACTAATAACACAACTAGAAGTAATAACAGTGACCACACCTCTTGTTGGCAACCTCGGCGGCTTCTGGAGCCGCTGCTGTAGTACCAGCAGCAGCTGCAGCTTCGGAAGTCGACATCCTAATCCTAATCCAAGAACAAGAGTAGCATAATAAGGACCAACAAATCAACGCATCATAAGGACTAAGGAGCTACTGAGGCAGTACACATTCAATCTTAACCCTAAATATCCAATCCAATTCATCAATTGAGTGATTGACATGCAAAAATCAAAATTACAGAGAATGAGCATGGAAAGATGGGGAGAGACTGAGGGAGCACCTAGAGTGTGAAGCTATGGCGAGGACAGATGCGGGTGGTGAAGCAGGGGCAGGGCTGTGCCAGCGACGACGCGAGAAGAAGTGAGGGGCTGCGCCGGCGGCGGCGACCCCTGCGCCTGCGGCCTGCTACTCCAGATGTCGACGACCCTGCTCCTGCGATGGCTCCAGCTGGGGCTCCCCTTGCAACGGCGGCGAGGAGCGACGAGGGCACGAGGCAGGAGGCACCACGGAAGCGGGAGGCGTGGCCTGGGCGAGCCGGCGAGAAATCCTGTGCCTCTCTCTGTTTTGGCGGAGCCACTCCTGCTCGGGCCCGCGTGCTCTTTCACGCGTCCGCCTGCCCGCGCTCCCGCTCTGTTTCTACGCGGCGCGCGCGCCCTTTTTTCCCGCTTTCCCGCTCGTGCGCCGCGCGCTTTCCCGCCCGCAAGCCGCGCATTTCCCACCCGCCTAAACGCATTTTCCATCCGTTCCGCACCGATTAAACGCCGCCGCGCGTTTAGGCGAGCGCCTAGGCGCGCACAACGATTAATTGAGCGTTTACCCCCTAAACGAGACGCTGGGTCAAAGTTTAGCGTTTAAACTCGTTTAAACGACGATTAATGACGTTTTTTTTAACATTGCCCTTGCCAACTCGACACCTATGGTGATACTCAGTTCAGTGATAGCATCTGTTGTTTCAGAGATTGGTCTAGGTTCTGATCCTGCTTTCACTGTCCCAGAATATGATTTTCGCTCCCCAACAGGTACTTATGAAATTTGTAGCACTGTTGATCCACTTACACATAATTTTTAGTGATGAAATATGATACAAAATGTAATATTGTTGTAAGCTAGATGATGTTTGCATTAATTTGTTTCAAATTGCACATGCTTCTGTCCTGATAAGTTAGCTGGGGAATTGGAGGTGGTGTATATTGTCTCTGAGAGCATACAAACTCTCCTTTCTGTCCATACATATTTACAGAAAAGTCCTTCAAACCCATATTACACCAACATGATACTACTAAATAATAAGTTGTGCTACCATCTTTTGCCTGATACAGTCACAGAATGCCTTTACAATCCTCCTGATGGTAGGATAGTTATGGTGTTTGTTTAATGATATCCTCTTTTTACATTTTGTTTCTCATGCTCCAGAGATTGAAAGTGTGAGGATATTTACATGACTTCATAAATGTCAGAACTTCCTCTATACGTTTTGCTGGGTGTCTTCTGTGGGTTGGTGTCAATTGCATTATCAAGATGTACATCACTTGCTATGGAGGCAGTTGAAAGTTTACAAAGGGCAACAGGGTTACCGAAGGCTGCATCTCCGGCTTTAGGTGGCCTCGTTGTTGGTCTCCTTGCACTTTTGTACCCTGAAGTATTGTACTGGGGCTTTGAAAATGTTGATGTCTTGCTGGAATCACGACCATTTACAGGCGGCCTCTCAACGACCATATTAGTTCAGCTTATTGGAGTGAAAATATTAGCAACATCTTTGTGCAGGGCTTTTGGATTGGTTGGTGGTTACTATGCACCATCTCTTTTTATTGGTGCAGCTACAGGGATGGCATATGGCAAATTCATGAGGTTTACATTTACTGGCCCTGAACCACTGCTGCATGTCCCATTCCTAGATGTGGCATCACCTCAAGCATATGGCCTGGTAACATGTCTACCAAATTCAGCTCTTTCATCTGCATTTTTTTTGTATTCTCAAATCCCTTGATATCCATCATTATATATTACGATAATATTATTGTTATGCAGTTGTCCTCTGTTCAAGATTGTTATTATCTTAATTCCACCTCTTACAAGCCCCACCATACCATTAGCTTGTTACCCGTATAATTTGATATATTTACTCACAAAGTCACAATACCACCTGCTATTAACTATTCATTCTAAAGACATCACCAGATAATTGCTAGTAGCTTAATGACCTATTTGATTTTTCAGTAAAAAATAAATAGTTGTGAAGATAGTTAATAGGAATTTAACATTATTTATTGGGGCTTATTAGATTTCCGCTGCAATGTACAGGTACCATATCTAGTGTTAACTAGCTTTCCACTCCCTGTCACAACTTATTGCCAATAAAACTTGCACATTATAATCTTGGGCAGCAATATTAACCAGAAAATATGATCGCTGCTTATGTTTTCTTCCTTTTTGTTTAATCTTCACAGGTAGGTATGGCAGCTACCCTCGCTGGTGTATGCAAGGTGCCTCTGACATCTGTCCTGCTACTTTTTGAGCTTACACAAGACTATCGTATAGTTCTACCTTTTGTTGGGGCTGTCGGGTTATCATCCTGGATTGCTTCTCCTCAAAGGTTCTCTAAAAGAAGTAAGCTGGATTCTCAGGAGGATAAATCAAGTATTCCTCAACAAGCAAACAACATGCTCACTCAAAACAAACAGGCCACTTCCATGGATACAGATGATTCGCCGCTAGAATTATGTAAAATTGAAAGCTCCCTTTGTGTCTATGATGCCAACGAGGACAATATGTTCAAAAATCTTACTGTTGCAGAGGCCATGAAAACTAACTACTTCTCCGTCTCAATGACAACTCCATTAATTGAGGCTCTAGATCTTATGCTCGCCGAGAAGCAGCCCTTTGTTATGATAACTGAGAATAACACATTTGTAAGAGTCTTGCTGGCACTAAAGAACATCCAAGATTTTTGCAGAGCTGCAAAAACTACCAGAGCACATGCTGAGGTAAAATGTGAGAATAACACTGGTTTTTCAATCATCTTTTGATTGATTTTGGAGTTCTGTATAATACATAGGCATGTTATAGGTCCGGTAGTTTTTTTTTTCAGTTCTATGGATCTCTTGCTGTCTCAAGTCTTGTCTTATGCATAGTTGTTTTCCTTATTTTTATCAAGAGAGGGCACCACCTGCACCAGTTTGTTTAGATATACCCACCTTACATAATAATTGCATCCATCACAACTCTCAATTGTACCATATACTCCCTTGGATCCAAAATATAACTCCATTTAGCCTTGTGCCTTTGTGCTAAGCCAAACTTTTTAGGCTTTGCCTTCAATGACTAAAAAGTTATAACATGAGGTTGATGCTAGTATATTAATCATGGAACATACTTCATAATATATAACTCTTTCTATTTACAGCAATATATTCTATTTAGATTATTAGTCAAAGTGTAATATTGGTGACCGTGTCGATTTCCTAGTGGACTTATATTTAGGATCGTAGGGAGTTGAGCATTGCATGCCACATTATGATCCAAATGCCCCAAAACAAGCAGGCATGGAGCAAATTACACTAGACACCATACCATTTGTGTTAGGAATGTATCAAATAAAGAAAAATTTGACAGGTTTGGTTAGTTCCTGGGGTCATGATCAATCTTGATCTCTCAAGTTGCTCTGATTTTTGCTGTGCTTCCATGTTTTTCTTTAATATATATAAAATAAAATGGATTTTACATTTGTTAAGTGAGGTCAAATGGTAATTTAGAGGATGTCTATACATAATATTTATTGCCACATGGTCTTTTTTGTTAATTAACTTATTGGTAGCTTTCTCAACCTTGATGCAGGTAAAGGAACTCCTGATATCTCATGTTTGCCAAGCAGGCAAGTGTAAATCGTGGTCTGTGATGCCTCAGATGCCACTTACTACTGCAGAGAAGATTATGGACTCTCACGGTGTGGATCACCTTCCTGTAGTTTCCGAGGATGCTAATCCTCAGGACAGAGGACCTTTGATAGGTTTTGTAGACAGAGAATGCATTGCCATCGCTGGAAGGTATTTGGATGATTCTTCTAAAATTGATATAGTATTGCTTGCGTTTCCAGTTGCCATCTTATACCGACAGTGTTTGTTTGTCTTTGTTGCTGTGTTTTCATTCAGGGCCATGGCAACAAAAGAAATTTTCAGTTCTATGTATGAGATAAAAAAGGAAGAGAGGGGTAGCACGGAAGGAAGAAATGAGACGACACAGAAGCACTCCCTACTTAGCAAGTCTGGCATCTTTTCCTGGTCAAGGCTAAGACCTCTCCAGGTTATTTAGTTGCTAACTAAAAACGTGCTTCAGGGATGTGATTAAGGTGTGCCGCCATTTTCTCAAATTATCTCGCTTACCAGTTACCACCATTACTGTCTGCAATGGTGAGGTTTTGTTGCACTTGTGTGCTACAAGTTCTCAATCGTTGCAACTGATAAACTGAATAGCTAGTGGGCTGCTTATCAAAATGTATTGCTGCTGAGAACTGGGAAGATAAGCAACAAGATCAGGCTTTGTAACATGTCTATTATTCTTTACACTTCTTTCGGATAAACACATAAAGCTAGAAATACAAGAATGCTTGCTGCTCGAATAAAACGGATGGATACAAAAGCATTCAAGAGCTTGATTTGCGTCTCTGTCCATAGCATGTCTCTATGCGCGGCCGCCACCCAAAAGAAATCATGTCCGTAGACCAATGTGACGCCGTTTTTTTTCTCTACAGTCGCCAAGCCAAGGCATAGGCTAACCACATTTTTTTAGTAATATATAAAACTTAGTCGCCAAGCCAAAGCATAGGCTAACCACATTTTTTAGTAATATATAAAACTTATTGACTCATCCATCACACACTTCATAGTTCACGTAACCAACCAATCAGTGGCGTCCGTATATAAAACCTAGCTACAGAAACAGCATAAGTGCACAACCAACCAACCAGTGGCGTTCATATAAAACCCAGCCACAGACATAACACAAGTGCACAACCAGCATTGTTCATTCCCCCCCCCCCTCCTTCGACGCGTCCGTGTATAAAACCTAGCCCCAAACACAGCACAAGTGCACAAACAACCATCCAGTGGCGCCCATATATAAAACCATGCCCCAGACACACCACAAGTGCACAACCAACATTGTTCGTTCACCCCCTCCTTCGATGCGTCCATATATAAAACCTAGCCTCAGACACAGTACAAGTGCACAACCAACCAATCAGTGGCGCCCATATATTAAACCTAGCCCCAGACATAGCATAAGTGCACAACCAACATTGTTCGCTCACTCCTCCTTCAACGCGATCGATTGATTGATCCTCCCGGCATTTCAATTCCGAGTGAGAGGACTATAGGGTTAGAAAGTTGAGCGAGAGAGACAGAGGAGCCCCAGACACAGCACAAGTGCACAACCAACATTGTTCATTCACCCCTCCTTTGACGCGATCGATCGATCAATTCTCCTAGCGTTTCAATTCTGAGCGAGAGAACTGTAGGGTCTGAAAGTTTAGCGAGAGAGACAGAGGAGAACATCACAAGTGCGCAACCAACATTGTTCGTTCACCCCCTCCTTCGACACGATCGATCAATCGATCCTCCCAGCATTTCAATTCTAAGTGAGGGTCTGAAAGTTGAGTGAGAGAGACAGAGGATGTGAAATACCGGCCGGCCAGCTATCGCTATGGCAACGACCTACGTCAAGGCGATCAAGTCGTGCAAGAAGGCGGCATCCCTGGTGGCGTCGGCGATGCTGGTGCGCGGCGTGGTGAACGAGCTGATCCCCTACGAGGCTACGAGGTGCGGGACTTGCTCTTCTCTGAACTAGGCTACCTGCGGTCACGTATGTTGTCGCATCACACAGTGGTGATCGAGGAGACAAGGCTTGTGCACTACCTGTGCTAGTATGCCTAGTCTGATCAAACGAACACTGCGAAGTGGAATATCCCACCTTGTCCTTGTCCCGCCCCCAAATCAAACACAACCTATGATCTTGATAAGCATTACATGAGGTAAAAGACCAATCTAGGAGGAAATAGGTTCTTTTCAGTGAAGAAGAAATAGCCATATAAATTTTCCTCAGGGTGGTTTGGGTGTACACCCATGTCTTCGACTAACTTGAGCTCGGATCAGTTACTTACACGAGATACAGTAGAAACTACAAAACTCAATGCTATGGTCAAGAATAAGACCGACCTGATATATAATTAGAATCTATATTTTTTTGCAATTTTTAATTAAAGTATTCTAACTAAATAAATTACACAATTTTTTTGAGAGAACAGGAGGGGCTCAGGAGCCCCTACTGAAAAATTTATTAAAAAGGCAACCAAGGGGGGTTACAAGGACAGAACAAGAGTTCAAGAAAAGAGTAAAAAACAACAAGAGGAGGGGGGGGGGGGAGGAGGAGATTCAGGAGACAAAAAAACGAGACAAAGAAAATTGAGCAAATTACACAAGCTGCTCTAGCCATGACACAATGAAAGGGAAGTACTTCTTGGCTCTCCAAAGGAGTTGCCTGAAGGTGGCCTTGAAGATCTCCAGGCCTCTCAAACTGCTTGCTGGGATCCCTTTAAAGATTACATCATTTCTTAGTGTCCAAATACTCCAACTCATGATGATAATGATTTCCATAATGAAAGGGACTCCTAACTGCCTTCTGAAATCCTCAAAAATCGGTAAAGGGACATTGTAGTTACCAACTACCACACCAACTAAATTCCAGCAGGCTCTGGCTAAGTCACACTCAATGAAGAGATGCTCCAAAGACTCCTCAGTATTGTCAGCACAGAGAACACAATTATAAGAGGGCAAGTGAAAGTTTTTCCTTTTCAAGATATTGCGCGTACTAAGCCTGTCCTTGGAAAGTAGCTAGAAAAAACCTTGTGCTTGTGCTGACAGAATGATTTCCAAATCCACTTAAAGGTTGGATGTGCTCTGCATGTGCCAATTAGGTGTTTGTAGGCCTTTTTGAGGTGAAATTGGGGCTGCCCCAGATATAAGACCAAACATCCCTTTCATCAACCAATTCCTAGTTTTGGAATGAACTCTCCACCGTCTAGAACTGCTCAAAAGCTTCAACAGAAAATGGGAGATTAAATAGACCGGTGACAGAGTTGGCCGAGGCAGCATTCCTGAGGGAAATATCAGGCTTCTTGGCAAAAGAATAAAGCTCAGGGTATTCCAGTTTGATTGGTTGTCCATTCCAGCAATCATCCCAAAGAAGGCATGTGGATCCATCCAGCACAGTCACAGAGGCCATCCCTTTGAACTTATCTAGCAATTTCAAAATATCCTTCCACCAAAAGGATCCCTTTTTGGTGTGATTGGGAAGCTTGCCATTGCTATAGTACTTCGCCCAGACAAGATGAACCTAAGGAATGTCTGCCTTGTTGAAGAATTTATGCATGTTTTTTTAGAAGAAGAGCCTCATTCTGAGATCTTAAGTCCAAAACTCCTAAGCCCCCTTCATCCTTAGGTCTGGTAACCATTTTCCAGGCTGCTTTTGCATTAATTCTATTGGTTTCATCATATCATCTCCACAAGCAATGTTTCCTAAACTTGTCCACTTGTTCTCTTATGGTAACATGAAGGCTGAAGGTGCTCATGAAGAAGGTTGGCAAGGAGGTGAAGACAGAGTTAGTGATCTGCAGTTTTCCAGCTTGAGACAGAAAGAGCGAGGTGTTAACAAGTCTCCTTTCACATCTTGTCACTAGAGGTAAGAAATCCTCTACTCTTGGTTTGGTTAACCCCAATGGCAGGCCCAAGTAGGTGAAAGGGGGAGTCCCAGTTGAGCAGCCAAAAGTTGCTGACAGGTGCTGAAGTTTTTCTGCAGATAAGTTGATAGGAATCATCATTGACTTGGAGAAATTAACTTTTAAACCAATGGAGGTGGCAAATGAATTTAGGAGGGCTTTGAGCAGGAACAGTTGCCTTCCACATCCTTCCATGATAATCAAGGTGTCATCAGCATACTAGAGAATAGGAAAATCACTAGTATACTACAAAGAGATTAGAACATTGAGCAGCCCCAAATATTTTGCTCTGTTAACAATAGACTAAAGGAGATCGGTGTAACAACCCAAAAATCCACACACCAAAAATACCAACTACAAAATTTTTCTTAGAACTCCCATGTGCTGATGAGTGTCATGTATAGTAACCCAACCTAAGGGATGCATTAGGTCTAATCCCAACTTAAGTCAACACATAAGCATGGCATGTCATTTGTTGATTATGTTTATTTAAATTCTAACAAATAAAGTATTGCATACATTGTTAATTCAAGTTGTGATTTGGATTTCCATTTGCTTTATGTTATGCTAAACAATTCCATTAAAGTAATAAACCATAAAGTTAATATTAAACAAAATTCCCTAAACTCCGATGAATAAGTTACATCAGTTTTGAATTCAAATTCTAAACCAAATTTGAATTCAAACAAGGGAAAATAAATGACAGACAAAAAAAAAAGAAAAAGAAGAAGTGGGCCTCCCCCACTGACCACTCGGCTTCGGCCATTGATTGACACAAGTACGACCTTATGACCAATGAGCCGGCCCGGAGATCATGCTGCTGCTGCATGCTACCTAATAGCCCCACCACCCATTTTTGCCACTTGGCCCCACGCGTCACCAGACATCGCCACGCACGCTGCTGCGTTTTCCCGCTCTCACTTGCGTAGCCCGCCACCGGGCCCCCGCGTCACCACACTCAAAGACAAGATGTCGTCTTCCTCACCCACGCCTCAACCGCCTACGCGACCGGCGCCCGACAGCGGTGGTAGGGTGGGCCAGGGGGTCATGCCGGGGCATGGCCCTGTCTCTCCCTTGCGCCACGCCTACGCCACCGCACGCGAGCCATTGGATGCCACCGAACATGTCTCCACCACTCGATCGTCGTCCATCATGGGAGCATGAAGCTCGGCTATAAAGCTCGGTCCTTGGTTGCCCTAGCGCTCGTCCCATTGCCCGCCGCCACTTGGTGGCCAACCACTTCTCACTGAGAGTAGAAGGCCGAGGAAGAGTTCAGGAGAGAAGGGTGGAGCCGCTGCTGGGAAGAGGACCGGGAGCACGCCGGGATTCGAAGCACCGCCGCGGATCAAGCCAGAGCGGGCGACACTGCATGGCACGGCTTCCGGAGCTACACGGCCTCGACTCTTCACTGCACCGCTATCCTCTCGCCCTCAACACCGACGGTGAGCCCCGATTCTTCCTCTGCTCGCCGCTGGACCATACCAAGCCGGCCATGGCGCTCCATACCGTGAGCGCATAGGCCAAGGTCATCTCTGGTCTC